AGATTTATACATCATCTGAAAGCTGAATAAATAAGCTTTCCATTGATGTATGGTTTGTTAGGATAGGACTAGAATATTTGGCTGAGATGCAACTATTTGAAAATCTGGAATCTGAGAGTGCAAAAAAATCTAAATATTGAGAAAATCGTTTTTTAAAGTTGTCCAAATGAAGTCCAGCAATGCATATTACTAATCAAAAATGAAGTTTTGAAATATTTACGGTAGGAAATTTACAAAATATCTTCATGGAACATGATCTTTACTTAATATCCTAATGATTTTTGGCATAAAAGAAAAATAGATAATTTTGACCCATACAATGTATTTTTGGCTATTGCTACAAATATACCCCAGCGACTTAAGACTGCTTTTGTGCTCCAGGATCACATATGTTCTGATTGGCTGATGGTGTGTCATATCATGCATTTTAACTTTCAGTGTGGACAAACCAATCCCTGATCAAAATCATTTTCAGATTTGCTCTTTCACTCCATTACATGTGAACAAACTGTACTAAACCAATGTTAAAATGAAATCTTGCTCATTAAAACCTCAGTGAAAGGCGGTTTGAGAAACAAGTGTCTGGACTGAAGTGATTTGTGTGGGTTCAGAGGGACTGCTCCTGTTTGTACAGTTGTCCTCAGCTGACACTCAAACAAATGAGCCGACGAACTGCTAAAACCAGCCCAAACTGCTTCACACACCATAAATACACTTTAAAGACTGATGCAATATTTGGAAACAAAGTTATAGTTTTAGAGAAGATGCTTGTTTCTGGGTCTCGCTGTGACCCAGAATAACACTGCATAAAAACACTGAGAGATCAATTTAGCTCGCAGCATATTTGCCCTCCATTTGCATCAGCGAGCATGAATGGAAGTCAGCAAGAACAGAAGAAGTGTTTAGAAAATGCAGAACAAATGTTCATAAACACTGTTTTATTGAGTAACCCCAGCTAAATGCTCAACAATTTCATAAAGTCATATACAAGCGTGACTTAAGACAACTAATGTTTTTTAAAGGGGTCATATGATGCTGCTAAAAAGAACATTATTTTGTGTATTTGGTGTAATGCAATGTGTTTATGCGGTTTAAGGTTAAAAAAACACATTATTTTCCACATACTGTACATTATTGTTTCTCCTCTATGCCCCACCTTTCTGAAACGCATCAATTTTTACAAAGTTCATCGGTCTGAAAAGCGAGGTGTGCTCTGATTGACCACCTATCCAGTGCGTTGTGATTGGCCTACAATACTACAGCGAGAATAAAAGTTACTCCTTCTTTCTTTGCGTGAACATTTGGGTGGTGTTATGCAAATCTTCCCACATCGTGACGTAGATATGTGAGGGCGTGTTAGAACGAGCCGTTTTAGGTAGGCGTGGTTAACTCTTAACTTTTACAAAGAATATCTCTTTGGATTTGAGACTTTAGTCTTTGCAACTTTACAGATCTTCTTTGTGCACCAAGATCTTGTAACACTCCAAAGAGAAAGGAAAAATTGAAATCGCATCATTTGACCCTTTTAAGATTCCCGCGGCTCTTTAATGTAAGTTTCAGGACACATGGTCTCACTCTTCTTATTAATTACAAACATAAACTGGATACAAACCCGGCGTTAGATATGAAAAACTGATCTGAGGCCAGCACAAACCTGTTTTTTAACATGTGAAGGGTTTCATCAGATGTGACATATGGCTGAAAGGCCTCATGACAGACAGCAATGAGAATGTGAATACAGCTGAACTGTGTTTTATTGTGTCTCCCAAATCAATGCACATTTCCCATACAAATTCCCATTATCATAATGCAAAAAAAAAAAACTTTGCATTTAATTCTGCCAGAAAACAGGCTATATAAATAAACAAAAATAGTCTGTTTTCTTGATAAATTAAATGCAGATGCATTTTTTTATTTTAGCAGTATGGGAATGAGAGTTTGTAGCAGAAATGTGCCTATAATAATAATAATAATAATATTAATGCAGACATAGTTTATTTTCTTTCAAAATTAAATGCAAATGCATTTATTTATATTTTTGCATTATTTGAATGAAAATTTTTAGAGGAAATGTACTACTACTACTAATAATAATGCAAATACGTATATTTTGTCATGAAATTAGATGCAAATCAAATTTATTTTTTTTGCATTATGATAATGAAAATTTGTGGAGGAAATGTGCTTATTATAATAATACAAAATGTTGTCATTTTATTGCAAAATTAAATGCAAATGAATTTTTTATTTATTTTGCATTATGATAATGAGAATTTGTAGCAGACATTTGCTAATAATAACGTCTCGGTTACGTATGTAACCCTCGTTCCCTGAAGTGTGACTGAATTATTAACACATTATCACATTACTATATATACAGTACTCTGCCATTATATATTATTCAGTTGCAGTCGTGTCTCATTCAGCACTGAGTTTGCTGTCGTTTTGTTGTATATGTATCATTGTGATCATATCGGTCCTGATCTGAGTGTGTCTGGTGTTTCTTTGTGTCCAGACCAGCGCGTGGCCTCGTTCTGCACCATGACGGACATGCAGAGAGCCGAAGCGCTGCAGATCTCGCGTGAGCTCACCAGACGCGTGGCAGCCGCTGAGGGAGCCGCACTGGAGGCCGGGTGAGTTTAACACCGAACACACACACACACACACACACAATATACTGTGTTCATGCTCAGACTAACAGCTCTGTCTCGCTCTTCAGTGATACGTCTCCAGCCACGCTGACGGGTAAAGTCAATCAGCTGGAGGTCATCCTGAGACAGCTGCAGTACGACTTGAAGAAGGTAAACTATCCCGTCCTGATGGAAAACAATAGCCGTGTTTCGTAGGTCCGGCATGATTTTACTTTTTTTTTTTTTTATCATTGTGTATTGGACAAGATGGTCATTACTGTATTATGTTAATGAGATATATTTTATTTATTTTTGGTAAATGGGGTAAATTAGGGTAAAAATAGGGTAAATTTCTTGCTAAATTAAATGCAAATGCTTTTTTTGTATTATGGTAAAAAAATAAAATAGGGAAATTGTGCATAATAATAATAATGCCAAAAATTGTCTTAATTTTCTTGTATAAATTTGTACAATTACTATTATTTTTAAAAAAAAATTTGCATTATGGTAATGAAATTTTGTAGAGGAAATGTGCTTATAATAATAATGCAAAAAAGTTCAATTTTCTTGCAAAATATTTATTTAGAATTCAGTTTAACTTGAATTTAAGAAAGTCAGTTGGAGGTCATCTCAAGATGGCTGCAGAATGACAGTATGGTGTGAAAAAGGTGGACTATCCCATCCTGATGGAAAACAATAGCCATGTTTTTTTTAAGTCCACTGTAGATGTTTTTACCCATTAACAGGACCTTATTTTCTTCACGTCTCACTCTGTTTTGTGAATGCGAGGAAGTGTGTCAACTGGGTTTTGAGGGGAATGATAGGCAAACAATGTGTTAAAGTGTGTTGTAATGGGCACCAGAATGCAGAATTGCCACCTCGTCGGCCCAATTTAATATCCTGCTACCTGCCATTTGAAATGACTCAGCTCAGCAGAAATAACTCCAACAGCCCATGATGCACCTGATGTAATGGCTGATAATGTTAAAGCGTTCACATCAGGTCAATATATGTATAGCTGGTGTACAATGACTCTAAAAAACTGTAAAGAGGAGTTATGAGTCCTCTGAGACCTATATCATCCATACTAATTAAACGTTTCTAGAACATTGTATCTATTTGTGAAACTTTTCTTTGTCTGTAATAAGATCTCAGTGCAAAATACTCAAGAGGTGAAATTTATGTTAGCATGTAAAATACTTTTGTCCCAGAGGTTTTCAAACTTTAGAGAACATTTACATTTAGAATATATATATATAACAAAAAAGAAAACAAGCAGTTAGAAAACGAATAGAGAGTGCAAAGTGTTAGAGGGCCAAGTCAACAAATAGATCAAATAGAATTAGAATGCCGGCTCAACATCGTGATGTCTGTCAGCCATCAGCAATGGACGATGGCATCGTCTATCGGCCCAACCCTAGTAGAGAATGAGTTGAAATGGTTAAAATGGTAAAATAAAAAATATAATTTAAAATACATAATAAAAATACATTTAAATTGAATAAATAAAAATGGGTCGGTATTAGGTCCGTGTACGTTGCGTTCATTCATTTTTTGATTTAATATTGAAAACAGAAACATGAGAAAACGGCACCATTTTCATTTTTCGATTTTTAAAAAACATGAAAAGACAAGAATTCGCCTTAATTTTTCGTTTTTACATTCAGGGGTAGAAAATGGATAAACAGCTTGAATGTTCGATTTCCACGTGTGGGAGGGAATTAAACGCCCCTTTCCACTGATTAGTCAAGCAAAAATGAAACAGTGCCGTCATCATGTCGTCTTCAGTTCTGTGCAACAGAATAAGAGTCCTCCGCAGTTACGGTGTTTATTGTAACTCCTGCATTTCGTCTCTCTCTCTCATCAAACAACGAGACTAACAAATGGACAGGGTTTACTTCTGTGTAGGCATAGTTTCTCTATGGCAAGTATTAGGTGCTTATTGCAGAAATATGTATGTACCTCGGATCTGCAGCCACATTACCCTTTTAGATTTCTTTGGTGCACCGCACATTTTATTTAGCTGTCCAGTTATCAAAATCTGTGTGGCAAAGATGCATGACGCTCTGGACAACACGGGGCGAATGCATTAACATTATAGTGAAGCACAGACCAGTATTGATTTTAGTGTGCATACGCAGTACAGTTTCATTAATAATGAGTATGAATTGATTTCATTTTAGACGCAAAACAGTGTGTTTTATTTGACAGATGTAATTGGTAACACCTATAATGTCATATTTTTCAAATATTGACTAAATTCAGAAATGTAATATTAAAGGTGACATATTTTATAAAGTTAGAAAAATGCCCTTTTCTATAAAAATAGCATGTATTATATTTATATACATATGTGCAACATGCCGTCGGATAATGACAGTATCATATAAACTTCTATGAAAAAAAAAACTCGAAATAATAATCAAAACAGTAAGATATCTTTATATTCTCACTAAAACCGATACTGGTCTGCGCTTCACTATAATGTAAATGTCACGCAGCTTTGTGTTGTGTAATGCTTTGTAATGTGGCTGCAGATCTGAGGTAGGCTACATACATATTTCTGCAATAAGCACCTAATATTTGACATATAGAATCTATGCCTACACAGAAGTGTAAGCCCCATCTAGGCGCTGCCCCAGTATGGTTTGTGTCAAGCCATTTGTTAGTCTGGTTATTTGATGAGAGGGAGATGAAGCAGGAGTTGCAATAAACGCTTTAACAGCGGAGGACTCTTATTCTGTTGCACAAAACTGAAGACGACAAGATGACGGCACCATTTGATGCTTGCTTGACTAATCAGTGGAAAGGGGCGTTTCATTTCCGCCCACACGTGGAAATCGAACGTTCAAACTGTTTATCCATTTTCTACCCCTGAATGTAAAAAAAATGGTGCCGTTTTCTCATGTTTCTGTTTTCAATTTTAAATCAAAAAACAAATGAATGTAACGTACACAGACCGTATTACCGCCTTCATAGTATTACAGAATTTGACAATATTACCACTTACCAAGTATGGTTTAAAATAAATTTATAAATAAATAATGAAATAAAGTGTAATAAAAAATGACAGTATTGTCCATTTCTAATTTGACAACATTATCACGTTTACAAATATTAGCGTTTGAAAAAAATTTTTTTTTTAAACAATTTTAAAAATAAATAATAAAAATAAGACTAATAAATAAAAATGACAGTTTTACCACTTTCTAATTTGACATTACTGCTTTCACACTGTTACAGAATTTGACAGTATTAATACTTTAAAAAAAATTTCTAAATAAATAGCAAAATGACAATATTACCACTTAATTTGACAAAATGACCGCCTTCACAATATTACAGAATCTAAAAATACCACCACTTAAAAAAATTACAAAAATTTATAAATAATAAAAAAGAAAAAATTGAATGAATAAAACAAAAATTACAGTATTATCAATTTCTTATTTGACAATATAACCAGTTTCACAATATTATATAATTTGACAGTACTATCACTTTAAAAATTATTTAAAACATTTTTTTTTTTTTAAATCCCAATTATATTAACAGCCATAGTGTTTCTCTTCAGGTTAAAGGTGTGTAAGAAAAAATTAAACACTGCAATAAAATAGAATCAAGTTATTTATTAATGACAAATTATTTTACACTGCATGTACTTTTTTTTGTTTGTTTTTTTTGTTTACTTGCTTACTCACACTCAGGTTGTTCTTGAAGAATATCCAAGGCTGATATTTTCCATATAATGACAGCATATAGTGAGCACCATAAAACGGCTAGTTCACTATATTCTGAGGTCATTGGTTCACTTTTGTGCACAGGAAAAGGAAGACAAGGCGATCCTGCAGGTGGAGGTGCAGCACCTGCGGCAGGACAACATGCGTCTGCAGGAGGAGAGCCAAACAGCTGCCGCACAGCTCAGGAAGTTCACCCAGTGGTTCTTCCACACCATCGACAAGAAGCCTTGATGGAGACCACTGAAGACTTTCAGGACTGCACGCCATTGACCTACACTAGCAAAGCCCGATTCCTACTGCAGTTCAATCAGATGCAGAATGTAAGTATATTCTGGACTGAAGAAGAGTGTAGATGAGCAGCGAAGACACACGGAGGCAGGTTTAGCACGGAGAATGTACTCAATTAGCAACTAAACTATGTTTCTGGAGGTGGATCATGAATGTAACACATCAAGACTTGTCGAGACGTTTCATTTTCTGCCTCCGTTATTGAAAGGTGCAATCAAACGTTGAAGTTCAGCGGGTCAACGGTACCTTTTGAATCATTTCTGTCCACAATCATCAAGTTCTGGCAATAAGAGTCATGGATTTGCCAAGCAAACACAATGCGAATAGTTCGTGAAGCTGTAAATGTTGAGATTGTGCCTCAAAGAAAAGCCGAAATGAAGCAGGTGTGTGCATAACGTGGCTTTCCTCTCCTGCCTCGTCTCGAATCCACAGTCACATGCCAAAACTCTGTGTCCATGTCTGTACAGAACCTCCAATCAAGTGTCTTGTGTTTAACACTGTTATTTAAGCTTCTTTCACCTAAATTAGTTTATTTTATTAAAATGAGCGGCTTCTGGAGGAACGGCTGTGAGAAGGCCATACTGTGACGGTTTTGCCAGGACTGTGTCCGATACATAGATATATTGAGGATTTGTCTTTTTTTCCCTCATTCCAACATTTGGATGCTGCTAGATAACATTATGTTGGTTTCTATGCTTTTACAAATGTGTTTCTCTGTAAATTTCATGTAAAATGGGACATTGGTTGCTTTTTTTTTTTTTATAAATGTAGTATGTAAAATAAATCTGATGTGTCATCTTAATATTTCAGGTCCTAGGAAAAAAGATTTATGTGTTTATAAGTGTGTGTGTGTGTGTGTGTGTGTGTGTGTGTGTGTGCAATGATCATTACTTTTATTTTATTTTTTTATTTTCATTTTTTGCGTTATGGTAATGAAAATTTGCAATAATAATAATGCAAAACGATATGCAAAAGTTCTTGCAAAATAAAATGCAATATTATGGTAATGTGCATAATTGTAGTAACAATAATAATAATGTAAAATAGTCATTTTCTTGCAAAATTAGATGCAAATGCTAAATTAAATTTTCATATCCAGAAAGGTGCTTAATTTTCATTAATAGTAGTAATAATAATAATGCAAAATTTTCTTGCAAGATAAGATGAAAATGCAAAATAAATTAATTTTATTATTTGCATTATGAAAATGTGAATTTGTTGGAGAAATGTGATAATAATCATAATAATAATTCAAAAACAAATAGTGTTTATTTTCTTGCTAAGATGGAAATGCAACATATTTGTATTTTATATTTTGCATTATGGTAATGTGAATTTGTTGTGGAAATGTACTTAAGAATGATAATAATAATAATGCAATAAATAAAATAAAATGCATTTTATTATTTGCATTACGGTAATGTGAATTTGTAGGGGAAATGTGCTTAATTATCATTTCTTGCTATTTTTTGGTGTGATGTTGGTATGAAGAGTGAGTTGGATGTTTGGTACTCAGATTGGCTCAGCTGGCAGGTCCGTGGACCGCTGCTCGTCACTGCAAACATCTGCCTCTTTCTGAGCCTCCTGGGATTTGATTGACTTTCTGATGACACTGACATTTTCTCCAGTTCAGCACCGGCAGAGAATTATTGTTGCCATGGGTTTTTGTTGCCATGGAAGCAGCACATTCCACCAAGGACCCTTTTGGGAATACCTGCCTTAGAATAAGTTCATATCTAATGGACACTTATCTGAGCATCCACAGACAGGCCTGCTGCAGGTGTGTGTGTGTGTGTGTGTGTGTGTGTGTGAGGCTATTAAATGGATGTAGTTCATTCTGCAAACCTTTTTAAAATGAATTCACCTAAAAATTACAATTCAAAATTTTAATTTCAAGGTGAATTATTGCTTAAAAGAAACTGCTGTTGATGCATCTGGTACTGAAGTAGCTAGACAGCATGCTTTTCCTTCTGTTTTTATATGTAAATTGTTAAAGCTTCAAAGAGGCCAAACTCATAAATTACATTATGATTAAAGAATCTACTTTCCATTTACACGCACTGTAAATCCCAGCTGCCAGGAATCTCTTTCCAACATCAGAGACGACCGCAGGATTGAAGTGGTACAAGAGGGGGAGACGCGCAATTCAGGGAACAAAGCAACACACACACATGTTCGGTCCTCAAACATTCCCAGTGGAGCTGCAGGAGGCCTGAATGACATGAATTCATGGAAACGCTCCTGTTCTCCACATGTGTTGTGAGCTGGATCAAACTGTTATACTGTCCACATTCTTACATGCTGAAAAGTGCTGAAGCCTCATTTACAGGCCACTATTTACACAGAGCCAGACAGAAAGTGGAGATGTGACACATTGTGAGATGTAGGAAGTGCTCGTTGAGTCACAGCTGACTGTATTTGAGACAATATGTGACACACGGCTGGTTTATCGGCTCACAGCATTCCCACGCTCACGCAAAACATGGGAATGTTGCAGGAAATTTTCAAATTCCAGCCCTAAAAAAAATTAGTGGAAATTTATGCAACTTTTAAAAGTGTTGAAATTTTGAAGTTTTCTAGTTGTGCTCAGCACAAACATATTTAATCTGCTAATTATTGTAGCGAATCAGCTCATTTATGGGGAAATATGAATAATTAATCACAACTAGTTATTTTGTTAAATATAAAAACAAAATATATATTGTGTGTTTGAGTGGTCCAGACGCTACATTATAGTGCAATATATTTTTCTAGTATTATTTATATACTAGTATTTATTAATATTTCAAATACAACAATTTCTCTCTTAAAATCTCTATGCCTCTTTTCATATATATATATATATATATAATTTTATTTTTATTTTTTGTGAACATTTTGCTAAACATCTATTGTGCTACACTAAAAGAAAGTCAGGCAGGTTTGGGACTATGTGAGGGTGAGTAAATTATGATATTTGGGTGAAATTTCTGTGTGAAATATTCCTTTAAGTAAAGTTAGTGCTAGTGTATTATACAGAACAGGGTGATCCAAATCCACCAAGTTGGGACGTTTCCTAAAGCAACTTAGTTTGTAAGTATGTAGTTTGTGTATTTTTGCGACTTTGGAGCCCCCTACAGTTAAGTGAGCGGAATTGACTGTCGTAATTACAGTGTAGTACAGCTGTACACACGCATTTGTTGAATGCTGCTGTAAAGCAATCTGCTCTTTCCTCGGAATTTACCCTGCTCTCCAACCGTACAAACTCCCAGAACAGATGCTTAAGGAAGAAAAGGTCAGTGTACCATCAAAATGATTTTGAAACTGAAATTTCAAGGTTAAAAAAAAAATCCATCGAGGCGTACTGACCGTTGCTTCCGGCTAAAATACAAGTCCATAATAACTTTTTCCAGTGGAAAAAGTTCCTCAAAATTCCTGTTATCTCTCACATCAAAATCCAGCCACATATTTCTCTTCTGATTCAGGCCACTTTTTCAGCGGAGGAAGCATTTTTATGGATTATGGTCTCGTATTTTAGCCGGAAACAACGGTTTGAAGTTAAAAACGCCTTAAAGTCGGATTTGTTTCTTACAAACACACAGCTTTTTGTCATCTCAAGTCATTAACTGATGGACTGGAGTGGTGTGGATTATTGTGATGTTTTTATCAGCTGTTTGGACTCTCATTCTGACGGCACCCATTCACTGCAGAGCATCCATTGCTGAGACACTGATGCAATGCTACATTTCTCCAAATCTCATGAAGGAACAAACTCATCTGCATTGTGGATGGCCCGAGGGTGTGTATCATATTCATTTTTGGGTAACTATTGCTTTAATGACCTCTGTCTGCTTCATTAAGACAAGAGAAAACAGTTTCTACAACAGATGTCTATAAAATAAGTGGAGAAATGGCAATTGCAGATGCAAATCCAGACTGCAGAGCAGATGCTGCTTCTCTGACTGAAATATTCATTTTGTATGTTGCTCTATTTCAGAATGAGGATCATATATTTCTTGATGAGTTTCCTGCCTCTGTAAAGCCTGTGATAGCGGCAGCTGTTCGGGTGTGGTGCACAACTCCACTGCAAAGAATTGTGGGTAAGAAGCATGCCATGCATGTTGGCGTGTGTTCATATAGACACTGGATCTCCAGACAGCAGCTAGAGCCGCTCTCGCTAGATTGTGATTCAAACAGCATGTGGTTTTCCCTCATGAAGCTCAACCGCAAGACTGCTAGCTTCTGACTGTATTAAAAGCAGCGCTGATGTTAACGTACAGACCTTAATCAGGCTGGACATGTTTATTTGACATGGATGAGAGCGAGGCTGTGAGGGACAGACCGTCTGTTCAATGTCTTAAGGGCCGAGATACAGCCATGTTTTCATGAAAAGTTTATGGAAAGATATATTTTCATTGTTCATAACCTCGCTTTCATTCATGTCGAATTAAGAATGGCATCTACTCTGATTAAAGGCTAGTGTTTATATCACGGTGATGTTATTTTAGCAGTCGCTCTCAAAACAGTTTGCTCTCTATTTAGCCTTTTCTGTGCTGAAATACACTAGCTTTGACATGTTTGGGGAGAATTGTTTTGGAAACATATGAATACTTTTATTCTTCAAGACATTTATAATGTGACAAAAGATTTCTGTTGAAATGTTGTTCTTTTGAACATTCTGTTCATCAAAGAATCTTGAAATAAAAAAAAAACTAGATGTACATAAAATAGAAGGAAGCTTCTTTCTAAAACCTTTTCTTTGCATTACTGCAGGAGTTCCCAAACTTCTTTTATCAGTGGAATACTTTTGACCTAAAATATTTAGGTCTGCTTGAGATTTGAATTTTAATATTTCTGTAATTTAACAACATATTCACGTTCACTGTTCTCGGTTAATGGCTGCATGACATGACATTTATTTAATTATTAAAATATTAAATTAATTAATTAAATTCAATATTTAATCTTTTTAGTAAGTGCTTTGTTTTGTTTGTTTTATTTTTAAATTTAATTATTTATTTTAATTAGATTTTTGTCTGATTTTATTTATTCTTCATCAATTAACAAACGCTGTGAAACCCTACATTAGAGCAAAGCAGTTGGACTGTCAAAATATACTTCACCTTTATTTAGTAGTTGTTTTATTTTAAAATTATTCATTTAAATTTGACTTTTTCTTTCAAGTATTAAAATAATAAAACATTAATTAAAATATTTAATCTTTTTAGTAGGTCTTTTTTTTGCTTTGGTTTTGCTTTTGCTTTTAATTGGATTTTTCTGATTTAATTATTGAAGTATACAATTAATTAAATTCAATGTTTTATTTTTTTAGTAACAGTTTTATTTTGTTTGTTTTAATTTTAAAATTAATCATTTATTTTAATTGGACTTTTTTTCTGATTGAACCTCATGAAACCCTTAATTACAGGAAAACAATTAGACTGTTAAAATAAAATATTTAATCTTGTTTTAGTCATTTATTTTTATTTTAAAATATTTTTTATGACTTTTCAGATTTATTTAATAAATCCATTAAATTCAATATTTCATCTTTTTATTGAGTTTTATTTTAAACCTATTCATTTATTTTCATTTGACTTTTTTTTATATAATGAGTTATTAGTCATCAATTCACAAACCCCATGAATCCCTGCATTACAGGAAAGCGGTTGCACTGCAGCGTCGTGATCAGATCAATCAGAGCACGTCTTCGGTCCGCTGAGCATGTGAATCAATAATCAACATTTGCATGCGTGATACATTGTTTCCTGCCAGTTCTGCATGTGCAGCATTAAAAAGTCTGCGTGAAACAGAGTTTACTGCTTTGATGCGCTTCCATTCGGAGGAAAATCACGCTAGATCTGCAAATTCTCCTAGCTGT